AAGGGAAGGGAAGGGAAGGGAAGGGAAGGGAAGGGAAGGGAAGGGAAGGGAAGGGAAGAAGGAAGGAAACAAGCAAGCAAGCAAGCAAGCAAGGAAGGAAGGAAGGAAGGAAGGAAGGAAGGAAACAAGCAAGCAAGCAAGCAGAGCTAGGAAGCAGACCTCTCAGGACCAGAGAAAGGAAGGAAAATAGCACTAAGGTGGCCCTCAGGTGACCAGAAGTAGCCAAGTCAGGAATGGAGGCAACTATGCCGTGCACGAGACACAAAGCTACCCCAGACTGCACCCTAAGGCCAGGCAGTCACCCATTCTCTCTGCTGGAAGCAGAAGGCCAAAGCAGCAAGTAACCTGACCCTCAAAGAGTGACAGGACCCCAGATATTACAGCTGGAGGCACCCCTGGGTCACTTGAGGTAGGAAAAGAAAGGACTGTTCCACAGGCCAAAGTCATGCAGACAGCTAATTAACGTCAGGGGCAGAGATAGACATGGGGTCCACCCAGGCAAAGTTCTCCTGTTACATCATAGTGGACATCCAAGCAGAGAGAAGCCAAAGTAGACCTCATAACCCAAAGCGCATCCTCTGTCTTCTTCAGTACCTATCTCTGGTGCTCTCCCAGTTGGCCAAGAAGCTGCAGGCACAGTCTGCTTAGGTGACATCATCCATGTTTTCTACTGTGGGTTAAGCAGTACCACCTGAAACACTTGGGAACAACTGGTCAAAGATGCCAGCTACCGGGACCAAGAAAGGTTGAAGTGGGCATTTGGCAAAGCTTGTTTTTCTAATTCAACAATAGATTAAGTAGGAAATTTTTAAGGCATTTTTAAAGCAGTGTTATAGTGCCCCTTTCCCGGAGTGGAATAATGTGCATTTGCATTCTTTTCCTCAACAGATTGTCATATTCTGATATCATTTAAATAAATGGGTGAGTCACAGAGGGGCTACAAAAGGCTCTTGTGAGTACTGCAACTCAGCCTGCTGTGTGTCTGTTTTCTTTTCATCCCTGACTTTCATATCCTCCAGGCCAGCGAACCCAGAGCTTGCTTGCTGCCACAGACCTAGCTCTGAAAGCTCTAAAAGGTTTGCCACCACTGCCCTAGGGCAAAGCATCCATTCCTGAGTTTGGGGCAACTCCTGAAGAATTACACTCCTTGCTTAAGGGCGAAGTTTCATTCTTGTGACTAGGTCAACTAGAATACTACATGAACTGATCGCTAGAGGAGGAGTTGTGTATAGTAGGTATACTGTTCAGAACAGACAAATGGTCAAAGAAAACGCCAACTTGTGACTTTGCTTTTACTTGCATACCTCTTATACGCAGTACTATAATGTATAACAGAACATAAAAATGTACTGTACTATATGGTACAATAAGCAAAAAAATATAGTACTGGATAAACAAGGTATACTGTACAAAAAGAAAAAGACACTGAGACTCTGTAAATAAGGTGTATGGAACAGCACAAAAACAGATGGGCCATGGGGCCAGCCAAATAGCTCAGCGGATTAAAGCACCTGCAAGTAGGTACAGGGGCCGGGGGTTCAATCCCCAGGGATGCCGTGCTGGCCCCACCACAGGGGGTGCTCTGAGACAACAACTGAAACTGGGCATAGTGGTGCATACCTGTAATCCCAGCTCTTGGGAGGCTGTAAACAGGCAGATCACGTTGAGTCCGATCTAGTAGTGAGACCCTGAACACCCTGAAAACCTTCCCCTAAAAAAAAAAAAAAATACAACCAA